TGAATTAAGCTGTATCAACGGTAATCGTTCTTTTCAGGGTTTACCAGTGTTTTGTTGGAGTAATTACAGCTTTCAAAACAAGCATGTCGGTTTGGTAAGCAGAGTGAACCTCATGTTAACACGTTCATCCCTTATAAAGTGCCAAGAATGAGAGAAATTCAAGAAAATCCCCCTGAAATTGTATTCTCGGGTATTTCTGTGAACTGCTAGGATTATTTTAAGCCGAAGAAAAAGATTTTTTAGATTTTTACATTACAAGCCTTCGCGGTTGACTTTTTTTAGTTAGCACCATAGCTAATACTCAATATCCACCCACAAGTTCTTCGGACTTATCTCCATACATTTTCCTTACAGAATAAGTTGAAAGAGTGTGATAAAAGCATTGTTGGCGTCGTTTTAAATTTTATCCTTTTCGGAAGGTGTTGCACCTACCCTAAGAGTCTGAAGCCTGATACTTATTTTTGCGTGCATAAAGGCCGGATTTATCTGTTCGCCACTTTCATAATTCACCTTGTTGCACCCCAAATTTTGAGAACACCATCGTTTCCAGTTTCTCCAGGGTATTACGGTTGTCCTAAGGTAAACTGAAAACCCTCTAGATGCCGAAGTTTAGGGTGCAAAGAAGGTGTATTTTGGGCAATGCGGTAGTGGCAAATTTATTTATATCAAAACTTCTTCATATTACATGCAATTTATACGCAACTTATTCTCTGATCATTCTGTAAAACTGATGATACAACCTTTTGTTTGTTTGACTTTTTGATTTTTCAGCCGGACTGTTATGATTTTGACTTTGTGACCATGAAGCCCAAGTTTTAAGAGGCCACCTGAGCCTCTAAAGGATGCATCAGCAGGCACGGAGTTTTAGCTAGAGATTTTATTTTTTATAGTAATTGAAGTCATTTTTGTTCTTTTTTTTCCTTGGCGTGTACCATGTTGATTTTGCAGTCTATTTTTTTAAACGAATTTTGTAAGATTTTTACCACCATACCAATGACGGTGCTTTTTCTTGTTAGAAGTGGATATAATTACTGTAATCTTAGCAATAGAAATAATTATTTAATTGGAGCTTAGAACCTTGTGTACGGTTTCTAAGCAAATGGAAGAATGTCCATGAAAGTTTCAATTGTAATAAAAAATTAAATTGTTTTTGTGCAGATGGTGCGTTTATTGTTCCTTTACTACAGTATATGGCTGAATCCAGAGGCGGAAAATATGAACCGAATCCTGTGTTCTGATTGGCTACCTGGGCGTGCAAGATGGGCGCGCTTTAGTCCCGCCTTTTTCCCTCCTTTTTCTCCTAGTCTCTTTTTGGCCAAGCTTGTTCGGTCGAGACTGCTGGATATTGGCCTCTTTCTTTCTTTCTCTCGCTCTTTCTTTCTTTCTTTCTTTCTTTTCTTTTATGCGTTTTTATTGACGTCCTGAGTTCGTCTCGATCCTTAAAGACGCCATCTTTGACCTTACCCTTCGCATTGGCGTTCTCCGGTCCAAAGTCTTTAATTCACGATTTTGGCCTTCCAAAATATTTATTTCAGGATTTGCGTAGAGGAAGACTTACTTGTTGTACCCATGCATTTGGTGTTGCGCGTGTTGTAAGAATGCCTAGACAAGAGGCAATCTTGAAAAGAAGGATAGATGGTGGGAAGTTATAGTCTGCTTCACAGCCGTTAAAATAAAGAACGGCTGTGAAGCAAACTAGGGGAATTATCGACGGACACAATTTTATGACGTCCTCCAGCAAAAAGCAGTGACGACAAAAAACGAACAAGAGAAAGAAAGACCAAAAACACCATGACCTGACCCGTCACTTCTTCGGTTAGATTTTAGTTTGACTTCTAATTGTCTTCTGATTGTTGTTTTTTTCTCTTTGACGTCATCTGAGGCCGTTCCATTGGAACAGTCAGTGCGTAGACAATCAATAAAAATCAATTCTAATGCGCGCGCTCAAAAGCTTTACGTTCGCAATCAATTTAGGTCATTAGTAACTTCAATGCCTCTCCAAGTATTCTTGTCAATATTTTTCCCTTTATTATTCGCCACCTTTAGTGCTTCTGTCTATTATTCTCCCCGGGACGAAAAGCCAGGAGATGTGGAGTGTAAGTACGATCTTATGAAATTTCTACTTAAAGTAGTAGTATAGAACCTTGTAGCTTTTCCAGTCTCTCATAAAAAGAGCAGGGCGTTTGGAATTTATGGGAGTATGCTGTAAGACTAGCAATGGAGTAAGAAATAGACGAAGTAACCATTCCTATCATTCTGAACTTACTGACCGATAGAAACATCAGATTAATTTATTCCGTCACAATTTGTGAACAAAAAACAAGGGATTGCAACACCGTTGTTCCCAACTTTGATGTTGGCCAGCTTTCATAACCAATCTCCTCTACTATGAAGTAACGTACAGCATGTTTGTTAAAAAGGTGAAGTTATTACTTACGACTACTCCAAAGTTCTTTTACAATTGTTTTCTAAGGCAAGTAATTCATCACTCAATGTTTATGTTACTTGCTTACTATTTATTGTATCTAGTTTTACATTGTCTGAAAAGCTCTGATGGTGTTATTTAATAGGGGTTTGTAGCTCGTTATGGGAATCAAGCTCCTAATATCTTCTCCATGTAACTCTTTTTACAGCTTGGTTGTATTTTAAAGTCCACTCTCTGTGGCATCGACACAATAACCTGCTAAAAACCACCAGAGACTACACCTCTTTTTTACTTTTTAAGTCTTACTGAACCTTAATAAGCCTCAGCGAGCAGCAAAATGACCGTGTTAGGCCTGGGCGCTTTCCAGATCATCAATTTGAATAGAAAGGAGAAGTGTGATGTCATGTTACCATGGTAGCAAAATTTTTGGATCGCAGCAATGAGGAGCTAAAGCAACGACGACAGCGACGGCAACGAGAACGGCAAAAAGCAATAAGTTTAGAATAGCAAAACAACAACTTTACACTTTCATCACGATTTTTTGACATTACGAAACTTAAATTAGGTCCTTTCAGATTTACTTCCAGTAAATTTAGCCAACAATTGACAAATTAATTGAAACTGAACTAGATCGATGAAGTCTGAGACAATTTTAAGTGACGTTTTTCGGTTTGTTGTCATCCAGAAATTTTGCTACCATGGCGACGTGACGTAACGACTTCTCCTCTCTACTGAATTGAAGGTTGCCCAGATGTATTCGACCCCCTCCGGCGCGAACCTCCCAAGCGATGGAGGGCGATGACGAGCGGCTGTACTGATATTCAGTTTCTCCGAAGTTCTATTTTCAGTTTGTCTAGTTCTAATGTAGCACTATGCCAATATTAGCACTCTATCATGTTTAAGACAATGTTGATCTTCTCTCCCCATGAAAGGAATCCGAATTTCGGAACCACGGAAATTTTTGCTCGTGGAATCCCGAGTCCGGGAAAATTTTGGTTGTGGATTTCGGAATCATACTAGCGATTGCAATCCAGAGTCCAAGTTCCACTGACAAAGGCTGGAATCCAACGACTGTAATCCGGAATTCAGAATCCAAGACTGTCTTGGATTCCAGGCGAATCTTCTTATGGACAATTTTTAAGAGCAAACTTAACTAATCGATTATCGTAGCATTATTGTTACAGCATAATGTTATATAACTGGGCATACAGGCCACCGTACTGATCAATCCAATCCTAGCCGCAACAAAGAAGACCATTCCCTCACGAACATATCACCCGTCGCTAAGTCGGAGAGTTTCTGTGACAATTAATAGGAGGGACATGAGTTCAGGTCGGCCTCTTTATTTCTAAAGAACTCACATCTTTTCCAAATCACCTGTGTAACTGAAAGAATATAAAATAAATATAGATTTAGCCACGGCTAAAGGCCAAGCTCTCTTTAATATTCATAAATTCCTCAAAGAAAATATAAAACCCAGGGAAACTAAAGACAAGGTGAAAACAAGGAGAAGGGAAAAAAAAAAAACAACAATAGATCTAATTAGCAAAAAGAAAAACAACTTTGCACGTGCGGCACACTTTTTTTCTAATTAGCAAGAACTGAAACAACTTTGCACGTGCAGCACACCTCTTTGTACATTTCCTTGCCGTTGTTTTGCAGGACTAAGACGTAAAACTACTTTAAACTTCCTATTTACACGTTTTATGGCGGAAATGTTTGCGTTCCTGTTTACTCTGTTTTTTCACTGCCGCTCTTTTTCACCTTAATAGCCGCAAACATTTCTCATTTTCTCACCGTCGTTATATAATTTTCGACCAACGAAATTCGTCCCCATTGTTATTTATTTTTCTCTCTAGCTCTTTCCCGGTTATCCAAGTCAATTTATAAAATAACTAAGATAGTACGCGCGTTCTGATTGGTTAAAAACCTATGATTTATTGTGCCAGTAAACTCATAGAAAATTGAAACATTTTCCGTTTTACTTCAAGTTAAAGCTTGTAAATCACTCGCCTTTTGGCTCTGGTTTACAAGGCGCAAGGAGCTCCGCTTAAAAGGGTTTCTCACAGTATTTCTACAATGGAACCTCTACAAACGGCCACCTTTCTACAACGGCCCCTTTCTTCTGTCCCCAAGGTGGTTGTTGAGGAGAGTTTCGAATGCATTTATTTTTTTTATCTAGGGAAAGGAAACAGAAGAGCCATAGTTCTACATGATGCGAATCCATTGGGCAAAACAGCAAACTTGTCGTGGTCTCGCGGCTGGATGTGTGGTTGGACTCCCCATGGACTGTGTTTCTCGCCCGACGAAAACAAAGATATTCACAACTTTTACGTGATTCCTTTTCCACTCATAAAGACCCACGTTTATTGCGAACAGAGGCCCAATATAAACTCTGGCTGGGGATTCGGCTTAAACTCTATCATCCTTGCGCAATTTTCAAGAGCAAACAAGGGCGAACTTTGGCAAGGACTGGTCAGAAGATACACTCAAAATGGCTATGGCACTATACTGAAATTTAGAGCTAAAACATTTTTTGCATCTTTCGGTGTGAATCAAGTAGAGCAAACCTTTTATGCTGGTCAGGTATATCTCGAAGGTAATTACACATTATACATGTATGTACAAAAAAAGGAAAATATTACTGCATCGAAGTATCTGGGTCGTCGTGGATACGGACAAGCTGAAACCCTCCATAATGTCGCAGTTCCGTTTAACCTATATATTTTACAAAATGATAATCAGAATAGGTTTATATTTTTGCTTTCAATTTGGCCTTCCTTAGGGGTTTGTCAAGAGTAGCCTGAGTATCAGGCGTTTCAAGGGGGCAAAGAGAAAGAGAGAAGCGAAAAGGGGAAATAGCGAAGGTAGAGAAACGCCTAACACAAAGTGACGCTTTTATGGAAGCCTCCCACCCTCACACAGAGTGATTTAGTTGTAGCCAATCAACTAGAGCTGTTATCAGAGTAACAAACTGTCATGTGCCAGCCTCAATCCATTAAGGAGCTTTTTTAAAAAAAAATGTTTGAGCGGATATAAATATATGCCTTTCAAAGAGCAAGTAAAATACGACGACTGTCAAATGCGTAGTATACATTAAAAACGGCCGCTGGATATATAAGAAAATTTATAATATTCAACGCAATTTATCTCCCGTTGTCGTTTCTCTCTTCTCCTCCCCACCACCGCCCCTATCCCCATAAACGCCTGATACTAACTGATACTGAGGCTCTCCGGTATTACGTTTGAAATGAAACAGGGGCATCCAATGACCGTTTTCTGTAAAATATCTGTTCGGAGAAGCAAACATTGCCTAGAATTTGTCTTCTGCTTGAAGACGACTAAAAATTTCTCGATGAACGTTCTATTCATGTACAATTTTCGAAGTTTATCTAATAAATTCCCTACGATTTTCTGAAGTTTAATTTTTCATATTTTACTACCCAGGTTACACTATTTTCCTTAGAAAAAGGAAACCTAAAATTTTCGGATTCAAAAATGCGATGGAGCGGAGGAATCAGAAAAATTCTCACTTTCGTAAAACGTTAAATTGCACCTAAAATTTTCGGAAAATAATACTGAAGCCCTTGTAATTTCGAAAAGACTTAAGTTCCCCTAGGATGACCGAAAAGATAAAATTTTTTTAGCGTCGCTTAGAATGTATTTCTAGAAATCTAAAAGGACTCTGGATAGTTTTCAACGTATTTTGGAGGAAACCGTTGTTGCGTGCCCCTGATGAAAGGACTGATTCTCCCTTTTCTTCTTATGTAAAGGTAATCAAACAACACGATATAGTTACGGCCGGCTCAGTGTTGTTATACTAAGTTCAGAAAACTCCTGTTTCCCCCATCTACAACTACGTAATCAGTGCAGCTGAGGTTGTAATTTCCGCTTACATCGACTGCAACTAAATAGCTTGACAACTTCTTGGCGAAACTTCGGGCAGCGCATGGTATAGATCAAAGGATTCGCCGCTGAACCAACGAGCGCGATCAACATCGACAGCAACTCGAATTTCAAGGTTTTTTGGTCGTCTGCATGATATCCTGTCACAATCATCCGCACAAAAGTAGGAGACCAAGTAATGAAGAATACAACAGTTACAAGAATAAAAAGGCTTGTCAACTTTTTCCGGGCTTTTAAAAGCGCAACATTTACGTTCGGTTCCGCTTTAGACCAAGCATAGCAAATAACTCGTGAATAAGAGAAAACCATAGACGCAGTCGGCAAAATGAAGCCAAATATGAAAAGAACAATTGAATACGTCGTGTTAAAAGTTTCGAGCCAAGCGGTTGTACGTGAGGCTCTTGTTATCCTGTTTGCTCTTTCTTTGGCAACACTTGAATATCTCTCAAAGGTAATGTAATAACCCGGTGCACTTAAAACAGCTGCCACAAAAAATATTGCGCACACTAATTTACGCATGAAAGTTTTCGTCACTTTTCTCATGTGTACAAATGGTTTGAGAATCGCATAGTACCTTTCCATTGATAAGGTTGCAAGAATATAAATTGAGCTCAATGCGTCGAAAGTAAAATCGGCAGTCGCATTAGAGGCGTCTTTTGAAAGGAGAACGAAGCTGGTCAAAACCTCGACTGAAAAGCACAGATCGGCGCTTGAAAGAGCTTGTAAAAGAAAAGTGTTCGGACATTCCCGTAGCCTCTTGTTTTTCTGAATAATGACTATGACCATTAGATTTCCCAAAACATTGTAAAGGTAGATTGGAATAGTGGTGTAAATTATGATTGAAGAAAACATTGAAACCATTTGAAGAAAAAAGATGAACTTGAGGGCGAAATGTTGGGATTCAAATGATCGTATGCAGTTATCGAAAGTTGCACCCAAAAGGAGCTTTCTTTATAAACATACAGATAAATTTTGGCCGACCCCCTCTAAGTGTTTGTACAACAAGGAAAGGTGTTCCTTTTAAAACGAAGTTTTATTAAGAGTACTTCTTTTTAATTGCTCGGCAACAATAATGTTTACCTTGCGCGAAAAAACTGCCATAAAATGAGAAAACCTTAGGAAATTAATTAAGAAGGTGCAGATGTTCACAGATGGTCCCTTGTGTTTGAATTTGTTTCAGTCAACTGGAATTGCGGCTTAACCCTATTTTTCCTTGAGTGGACGCTTTTATTGCTTTTGCTGTTTTACCAAAAGTTACTATTCGAAATCAGCGATGTAAAGGAAAAATAAAGAAAAAAAATGAACAAAATCTGTCAATATAAATGCTGTATACTTAGGGTGCGTTCGATTGAGAAATCCGGATTTAGATTTTCAAAATCTAAATCTGGATTTCCCAATCGAACGCGAAATCCGAAAACGGATTTTACCTCCGAGAAATCCGTCCTCGGGGTGGATTTCAATTAAGAAATCCAATTCCGGATTTTTTGGATTTCCCTTTTTGTCGTTCGATTGGGAAATCCGAAAAACGGGATTTGCAAAACTGTTCTCGTGAACAGCGGTCTTCTTTTTACTGATTATGTGCATGCAGGACCGCTGTTCCAGAGGACAGTTTTTCAAATCCTTTTTCGGATTTCCCAATCCAACGGTAAAAAGGAAAATCCAAAAAATAAATATTTCAGCGCTGAAATCCGTTTTCGGATTTCGCGTTCGATTGCAAATCCGAAATCCGGATTTTAAAATCTAAATCCAGATTTCCCAATCGAACGCACCCTTAGAAAGCGAGCGAAGAGTTTCCACTCTGATATGCCATATACTATTTTTCGTTTGATTTTTAGGGGCTCACGATGCTTGCAAGTTTTTCAAAACGGAGTGTTTGCCAAGTGAATACTGCGTTCCGCGGGTGCTGTCGGGAATGGTCTGGCCAGGAGAATACAAATGCCTTTGTAGAAAGGGTTGGAAAAAAGTTCGCGGGCGCGGATGTGTTGGTAAGGTAGAGACTGGTATTTGCGCATGCACCGATGAAAAAAAATGTGCGAATCTTTGTTTCCTTTTAAATTGTTCCAGAACGACTGCCTGATATAAAGAGAAAGAAAAATACCAAGAAATCATTAATTGATTCTTTATACGTAAGAAATAGGAATAACTCGTTTGCTTGGGTATGTTAAACTGAAAACAAACTAAAAGGAAGCAAAACAAAACGAAAACACAAAATAGAAAATGTCGCGTACAGCGGCTTGTGTACTTGCAGGTAACCTTACATTGGCAACAGTCATATGGTTTCTGGCTCGAAGCTGGCTCTATTTCAGGTTACGATGTTGCAGTGTATTTGTTTTCAATATTCCTTTACCGTCACTTGCTCTTCATAAAAAATTGTTTGTCATTTGCCACCACCCTCATTCATTTCATTGTACCTCTGTATTTATTGACGGCGTTGACAGCAAGACGTCATTACTCGAGTATAGACCTTTTTAGCTTTTGTTTTCCCAATTTAGACCACGTGATGTTTTCCAGGGAATTTGCCTTTTGTCTTTTCATAAATCATGCATTCAATTTCCGAGTAAATACACGTGCAAAGGACGATATTTGAAAGAAACAGTTATGGTCTTAAATGGGAAAACATAACATACAAGATAAAAAGGTCTATTAAGCTCGACACAATCCCTAGCCTATACTCTGCCAAACCGATGTTCTTGTTGCAGACATTGACGAATGCGGTGCAACGTTCTCTCCGTGCAGATGGTGGGCTATTTGTGTTAACACACTTGGAAGTTACTCGTGTCATTGCCGGAAGGGCTATAGGGGCAAACAATGTGATGTCGGTAAGTATTCGGTGTACATAAACAGGAGTTTACCAGTGCTTCCTCTGCGATGCACCGAGTCCGGTTCACTTACCAAGCTTCAGGGGATCAAGCGAAATATTGGATTGATGTTCTAATCTTACATCAATGCAATTGTTTGCTGTGGTTACCCGATATGACACCATATGTGACAAGATGCAATCGTTGTTTTTATTGCCACACCTCGTGAAAGTTCTCTTTTTTTTGGAGAAAATTGCATATTCAAGGCATTATTTATTATCTCTTTTGCCCCAATTCTAGAACCTTCCTAACTCGAGAGAATTCAAAATGGCGGATTCATGATTGCTCACTTGATATGATAACGTGATTTCCATATGAAATGACGTCATCGAGTTACGTAAACTATCATACCTTCAATAATAATTATTATTTATTCATTTACAGTGCGCTTTTTAACATACTAGGTCACTCTCATAGGTCTAAGGCTCAATAAATTTTAAATATCACTATGGAGAGGTCGAGGGTTCCATGTCGAACATACTGTGGCCTACTAAGTTTTTTAAAGGCTTCATTCATTGAACGTTGTTCATTTCTCAGATATTGATGAATGTCAGATGAAACCGTGCCCAGATAACAGCATCTGTCAAAACACACCTGGCAGTTTTAATTGTACTTGTCAACCCGGTTTTTCAGGCAAAAGTTGCTCAGGTAGGAATTATTATAGCGTATTTCACATATAATGAATCGAATAATCCCTGATTATCGTGAAGAACGCGATATTGCCAATTTCGCTTATCATTTAGTATACCCTTTCATGGAGGCATGTGTGGCAGAGGAGTTATCACCTCGAACTCTAGATCTAGAGGTTCGGGTTTCCAGCCTCGCCCGTCGCTTAGCTCCTTAGACAATAAACGTTACTCCACTTTGTTGTTTACTTCACCCAGGTGTATAAATGGGTACCATCGACATACTGCTTGAGGGTAAACCTGCGATGGACTTGTCCAGGGGGGAGTAGCAATACTCCTAGGCATGCTTCATGCTAGGGAAACCGGGATAAGCTCCGATCTTTTGGGCCTTTTTCTGGTGTGCGCCTTTACCTTACCTTTTTGATTCTCAACAACTATGAAATTGTAGCTTATGTTGTGAGAAACATACATGTATTACATATAAAATAATTACCGAAGACATAGGCAGTATAAGATCTCAAGCAGTTTAAGGCCTGTGACTTAGGGTTTACTTTTGGAAAATGATTTATTGGCTATAACTTCGGTATAGATGATGACGCTAAATCAGAATTTGGCACAAATAAGGAACTCATCGTCCTTAACATTTTTAAGTATGAATATTGTGTGCTAAAAATCATAAATTATTGACCAATTGGTGGCCGGTTTACAAACAAAAAATCGAGCGATAGCATTTCTCTAATTCATATTAAATATTTCTAACACTTGAGGCTTGGAGTGACCGTCCTTTGCACTTCAATAAATAATTATGAGGGAAAACACCATTTCAATCTTGAATCATTTAAAATTTAAATTTTAAATTTCATGTACATTCATTCCAAACGTAGAAAGTTAGGTACGTTTATCCTCTTTCAGAAATGCAATTTGAGTACCCATTTAAACAAAGTAAATTCGCCACCAATTCGCCAATTTCCTTCATTTTCAATTTTTGGTCACGTGAGGTGCCACATGACAATAACTAAACGTGAAGTCGCAAGAAAACCTACCTTTGGGGAAAAATTCATTTTGTCCTGGGTCTCCTAGCGAGAGAGATTGCTAATCATTCATATACTTTGAACACACCTTTAACCCAGGCCTTAAAGATGCATCTACCCCGCATATCCCAGGATCTTTTTGTTTTGAAAAAGGGAAAAGGCACTCACATTTTTTCATTTTAAAATCCTTGGGGAAGAGGTTCAAGATGCATTGCATAAGACGAGTAGAATGAGCACTGAGACTGGCTTTGCATGAAGTTACCCAACAAGACCATACTAGGTTGATATATATGCCACATTCACGTTCTACATTCTGAGAGGATTCAGCGATGTTAAGGGAGTAGTTTTGTGCGGAATTATCACATAGAAAATTCGTGGTGAAGATACTTTACAATTAGAGAGCGTACAGTACAAATGCGTACTCCAGGCAGAGAGAATTTCAAATAAGATTAGTATTTGTTTGATTGCTTTAGAAGTTTCAGGAATGGACTCATCGTCCAAGAATGAGCCAATCATCACATTTCAAGTCGTAAAGCAACACGCTGTGAAAGAAATTTCCATCCCTCGACACAAGCCTGTAACGGTCATTCGCAAGGCCGTGCACATTACAGACTCTGGATCTAAAGAGAAGGCAATCATGGGATCACTAATTGCGACGCTCAACCTTTTGGGAATATTTTTTTATTGGTAAGAAGACACGGGCTGTTTTCCGTCCTTAAATATTTTTTAATAAGGGATTATATATTTAACACTGAATTTGATTTACTTCAATTGACCACACGAACAGGGACTTTTCATTTTCCTGGCACCAAATGAGACTTTTCGTCTTTGTCTTGGAAGAAAACAATCACGGTTTTGCTCCCGCGATGTGAGTTGAAGCTCGCCAAATTTGCAGCTAAAGGTTGCTTTTAGAAGTTCTACGCTTTCTTCTCTCCCGCAGCGCGGCTTAAAGGCGCTTTTTGTTTCGGGACAATCTGCTCAGGTGCTTGGCATGAAGGATATTCAGTTGGCTAGCTTTCGCGACTGCAATCACTTGATCCGCGTAAATCCATTTGGACATCTCCTCCTATAATTGACACCTTGTTTACCACCCAAAATTTTTGCATTACTTTTGTTTTTAATTGCTCCTAAGTATGACAGTCGTCCAACAAGAATTTGAGGGCATCAAGAGTAGAGTATGGGAGACTGATGTGCAAATGTCGATGAATGTTCCATCGAGCCTTTGTCGGAACTAAGAGAGAGCTACCACAAGATGGGATTAATTCTGGTACCCAACCTCCTATCAGAAATCACGTTATTTCGTTGTATTGTTGTTAGAAGCTCAGATTAAAATGTCTGCTATGTTTACTTTGATCCTTTGAATCTTCTTGTGGGCAGTAAAACAGCCCATGCTTACAGGAACAGGAGTATTTTATTTGTGAAGGATAGAAAGGATTAGACACGCGTGCTTCGCGCAAGATTCTCGTCCCGTGCAGTCTAATCTTTTAACTGATCATTTCTTGTTTACCGTAGGAGACAAAGGAAGAAAAAGAGAAATGAGGAATTTAAAAAAGAGGGCGAACAAGACAATTTATCCTCTCAACTTCTGGAGACGGAGGAAAGAAATTCAAGCTTTGGAGCGGTTTCGGTAGAAGAAGAAATTTTTCCTAGCACTCAAATGTTGGTAAACAAGGAAACTGTTTCAAACTCTTCATTGTTAGATAAAGAGTCTGTTTCTCACAATATGCTGTTAGAAAATATCGTACCGACAGGCGTTGATTCATTTACGGCAAACAAGGAAAGAATTCTTAGTGAAGATTTAGTTGTGTCCGACTTAGATCAGACGATTAGAGGAAGAGAAAGTACAATCAAAAGTCAGTCATTGTCTGAAATAGCTTCTCAAAGTTGTGAAAGATTTAAAAGCAAAGGAGATCTTCAAATCGATCTAAGTAAGGGAAGCAAAGAGAAAGTTTTAAGCAATCACGTATTGGTAGATAGGGAAACAACTGGAAATTTTCAAATTTTGGATAACAACCCTTAGCTTAGCTCTTAGAACAGTCGGTGTGTTAAGTAAGACAACATTAAAAAATGCTAGCTACGCGCTATCAAATGTCGTCAGGCTGAGAAACTAGAAAAATTAAGGTTTTTAAGAAAAACTAACTAACTATAATCTGAGATAAAGGTTTTCAAGATACATCTACTTGATACAACTTGAATGTTACCATGACCGTGAACAGCTAAAAATCGATTAAGTTCCGCACATTGCATGCGTAAAGTAGACGAAATCTAGTTTTACAACACATGTTATAAAAATTTGAATTGCCATAAAAAATTGAAATAAAATTGATCGATCTGCATTATTTACCCCTCGTCTTGAGTAGTTACTTGTATTCACTTCCGATCGATCATCAGAACAATCACTCACCGTAGAGGTTATTGTAATCGAATGTTATCTGTTTTATTGGTTTTACATAGGGTGAGCAAATCGTAGTATTCGTATCGTATTGTGTATGTACTTCTATTGCACGTACTCAATAAAGGCTAAAACATTATCATTGATTTGTCCGAGACTTTCTGAAAATTACAAAAAATAATTCCCAGTGAGAAAAAGCAGCCCGTTCTGTACAATTCTTTTCCGTTAATCTCGTGCCCAGATCTCTTATTGACTAAGCCGAAGGTGAGCTCTCGTCAACTGAGAAAATTCATTTTTTTGATTGGCTAGATTGTGAGCGAGCGACACGAGTGTTGTGCATCAAAAGGTCATTCTTTGCAAAGTCTTAAGTTCTGTTTAAATGTTATTTTGACTTGAGAATTAGTTTTCCGTCTCAATATACATTTTAAATTGTAAATCCATTTTTATCTTATCTTTAAAGATTTTTAAAGCTATCGGTATCAATAAAGACTTTTCAGGGAAAAGGATAAAAAAATTATCGCGTAGAAGTTGACGCGTACTGCTTTGAGGCTGTAGCGCGCGCTACGATAATTAAATTTAAGTAGGAGTTGAATTTGATGTTACAAACAACAAAACAACAAATTAGTTGGCTCATACTTAAGATGTGAGTATAACAACGTTTTAGAAAACCCTTCGCGTCAAATGTTGGTAATTTTTTCTGGAGCTGAATTCTTAAAGACTGTATCGAAGTTCAGGAAACTGAGTATTCACGTCCTTCACAAAACGTGAAATTAGGCTCTTTCACGTCGTAGTCTTTCATTGGTAGTCGTGCAGTGACGGCAAAGTTATCTCGTACCCAGATCTCCTGTTGACGAAGCCGAAGGCGAGATCTGGTCAAATCCGATTTGTACACGTGATCGCCTGTCATGAGTATGACAGGCGATGAAAGAGCGCATGCTTGAAAAAATCCTCAAAATCACGGCCGTTTTTCGACGTGTTAAACAACAAATTTGATAGAGACGTGAAGTTTTTTCTAAAACGCGGTTATACTCACATCTTAACGTCGAAAAACGGCCGTAATTTTGAGGATTTATTTCCAGCATGCCCTCTTTCATCGCTTGTCACATTCCTGACAAGCGATCACGTGTACAAATCAGATTTGACCAGATTTGACCTTCGCGTATTGACAATAATAAACTGTATAGAGCTAGCCACCTTACATTGGCCTGGCGCGGGAGGGATGCCGGGATATGATAGCCTCTCCGACAGCCTGGGTTCTAGTTGTGTATTTCTAAAATGGCGGCCTTCCGGTTTCGTTAAAATTGGTAAAATTGAGGGCATTTTAACTTCTGAACAAACTCCACTATGGTACAGATGAAAGTAGCCAAGTGCCCGTCGGATGCATTGTCTTTGACGAACTGTTTAATAGTCAATGAGAACGATTTTAGCCCCGAGAGAGTGAAGTAAGTTTTTTGAACCTACATGTAAGCTGATGTTGATGTGACGTGTCTAGAACTTTACCATTCAAATCGTAATTCAATATGGTTTAAGATACTTTGCAATGCGAGTAATTATTGAAGACAAACTGGGAATTATGATTTCTGTTTTTATTTCTACCAAATTTATATAGGATGGCTACTTTGCGATAAGTGGTAATCTAGAGGGAACTAAAATTCGATTCCTCGAAGTGAAAATGGTGAAATGCAACCTCAGCTTTTTTTTAGGAAAAATTTCGTACGATTTTCTTCGCTTCAGGTTCAGAGCTGGGTATATTCTTTTATACCCCAGAGCTTCTGTATTTGTACTTTCATAAGCAAGGACGGTATTGTAGATTAGTAACGCAATGCGATTAATTTTGTAACAGATGTACAAAACTCCTTAATTTCAAGGCGGATGCTTATTTTCGATTCTGATTCATTTTTTAACGACTCATTGCTTTCAGTTACAGCTTAAAAACTTGAGTCAGTACATCCAGTTTCTTTGATTACAGAGGGTAATTAAATGTGATTGGCTCCCCTGGATTTTTTGGGAAACGTTAATGACATTGATATTCTGTTTCAAAACAGGAGTTTAGGAGCGATAGTTTACTAATTATTGCCTGCTAGCCTACATAGAAAAACACGAGAAAAAAACAAAACAACACAAAATTCATGATAATATGCCTCATGGTTTGTAAGCTACACCAGATCAGTAGAGTTAAGTCAATAGTAATAGAGCATGGGAAAACTTGATGAGACGTTGTCTGTGCAGAAGTATTTCCCCTTTAGTACTGTATGCAAGCTGAACTACTGGATTGTAGAAAGTAAAGTTTCTTACCTGACCAAAGTGCTGTATTTGTCTGCTTACCTTTTTTGCAGGCATGTTGAAGTTCGCACTAATGCGCCACAGGGTTATGTCTTTACAATCAAAGTATCTGAAGATATGTCGCCAGGATCAGTTGGGTTTAGCCTAGTGCAGGTAACAGATTGACATCCCTTCATCAGTGGGGCATGATCAGTGTATGAATGTGCTACAAAACAAAACAAAAAAAAGACGGTGCTGTACATGTACTTTAAATTCCAGTACAGCGCACATGTTTACCATAAAATTCCGAAAATAAGCCCCGGGGCTTATATTTTTCAAAGGTCCTTTTTGAGGGGCTTATTTTTTGAGGGGCTTATATTTGGATGGGTTTATCTACAGAGGGAAATTTGCGTTTCAAAATCGATTGGACTAGCCTTATAGTTTAAAGTAAAATTACCGTTTTTGCTTTGTTTTACTTTGTATTTGAGGGCAATTTTCCAAGTATAAGTCCCCAGGGGCTTATATTTAGAGGGGCGATTTAACGAAGGGTTTTTTGCATTACCGGTTTGGGGGGCTTATATTTGGAGGGGCTTGTATATGGAGGGGCGAATTTTACTGTATTTTGTGGAAAAGGGACAGTGCCATAAAGATTTCAGTGTGCCATCTCAGAATGGGAATGTAGCCTACACAATAGCAATAGGGATTCATTTGCTCACAAAAAAATTAATACTAGAGAACTGACAGATTTATCATACATGTGTCTTTCCCTATAAAATTTTGCTCAGATTGGGGATGTATATGAAGCTTATAAATTGTAATTAAAGATATCTAACTTGAAGGAAATCTGAATTAATCAGAATGAAATAAAAAAGTAAAATAAAAATAATAAATAATGGTAATAGGACTGAGTGGTTAACAAAATCAGACGACGGCGGGAGTCCGATTTGTTTGATCACGAGTATGATTATATACAGACTGAATTGGACGATACGAAATTCTGTTATCAATTAATCATAACTATAACAAAATTTGTGATGTTTTAGCCCTCTTGAAAATAAAAAACACAAGAAATTTCAAGAGTTTTCTTGCTAGCAGGTTAAAAAGCCATTTAAGTGCGCGTGCTATGGCGCATACTGTCCAATAACATAGGCATGACATGTACTGCCCTATTACACTGTTCTGTCAGTGCTGAAATCAGGGCAGTTGATAGCCTATCAGATTTGCGAATTTAATGGTGTCCGGTAGCCTGGGGCTAGTGGATTTTGCTATCGGGCTATTGAATTCTGTTCTTTACTTGCCCAACAGGCAAGCGATGTTTTTTTGAGGAATTCGAATAACAGAAGAACTGTGGAATCAATTCTGCTCGTCAAAAAGCTTTTGGGCCTAGTTGAAATGATGCTGGGGCTAGTTGAACTGATGCTAGGGCTAGTTGAACTGATGCTAGGGCTAGTAAATGCTAGCTTCAGCTTGCTTAAATGGCAGGCTGTAAAAATGATTTTCTTTGCACCCTGAGTAATAATAATAATTAATAATAGTAATTAATACATTAAATAGAAAAAAATTGTATGATTTTCTGTTTCAGAGAAAATGGGCTGGTGTGCAGTTGAACAGTGCTGTGGATGGTTAGTTTATTTGGGGAATTAACAGATAACCTGAAGATTTTGCATGTTTCTTTTATATTTTAAATATGTATCTTTTTAATTTGACCGATAAGGATAGACAATTCCAGTTTAGCCATGGTCGAATGTCTTTTCAAACTAGGAAATTTGCGCATTTGATAAATTGAAAAAAACTAAATGTTGTCTTCAGAAGTTGATAAAAAGCTTGACGTGTCAAGATTCTTCTCCACTCTTTAAATTCACTAGTTAACATTGTGTACTTTTTGTGTTGCATTGTAGTTATTCCCTTTAGGTTTGGAGAGGGATCATTCTTGTCAAATGTGACAGTTGAAGCAGACTTCCTGCAGAAAGCAAGGTATGTCAAGAAGAGATTTTTCAGTAAGTCAAGCAGTTCATTAACAGGACTCATTATAAAATGCTTTGCTCTTAAGGAATCGGTAATTTTTTTTATCTTGGAAGTCTCAGTGCGTTATTAATGGCAAATTTTAGGTGTGGGTTTTTAGGATGTAATGTTTATCCAGCTCATCATACTTAGCTTCAGGTACTGTAAGGAATTAAGCAAACTACATTTTTCATTTTGGATTCCCTATCTTTGTGTTGTATAAATTACCATTACACTGTGTATCATCCTATCTTAGGGGCAACAATGATGCATATGACACAAACAAGATGGCAGAAGATTTCACGCATCAGTTTCTGGACCAAGCTTTTTCTGTGGGGCAACAGGTACAGTTGCAGCGCTGGCAACTTTTTTCTGAAATAAGAGCATCACATGTAGATTTTTTTCATATTCTAACACCCTATCACATTCAAAAGCAACTAAAGTGGCATTCCAGAAAGTTGTGAATATCCTTACGGGTTTCTAAACTTGGAGATTTGAGTTAATTGAAGCACAGTCATTCATCTAGGTTTTCGAGTCTCCTGTTGGTTCAAGCTAAATATATTTTATGTTTATTTTCCAATAAATTGTCATTTAAGGCAGTTATTGGTCAAATGTTTCTGCCTGGTGTGAGGAATAATAGTTTGTCATCAAGCATGAGTTGGCAGAGTCCTGATCTATATTGTATGTGATTTATCCTCAGTTGCATGCAAAGGGCTGTGCTACTCTGAGATTTATACTTACCTCACAAATGTTCTTTTATTTAATTACTTTTGGGGTAGGCTGTGTTTTCTTTCCAAGACAAGAAGTATCTTGTGTTTGTAGTAAAGAGCATGGAAGGTTAGTCACACAATAAACTAGTATTAAATACATAAACGGTAGATTGTAAATTTATTAGCCTTGTGCAAATCATGGATTATAAATTATCGGTAATGGGAAACATTAAGTTATGTGATCATCAATAAATATGCATGGAAGAATGACAATGTTGTTTAATAATATAAGGTTAAAACCTACTTGTTTGTTTGTTTTTTGTATAATCCATTAATGATACTTTTCTGATACAAATTTGTATGTTTTTGTCACGTTCTAAAACACTGCCTCAAGGCTGTACATAATTAGATTGAGTAGATTTCACTCTGTTGCTTTTGTTTCTTTCAAAATTTTAATCATTCCATTAGTATAAGTGGTCCACAGTCAAAAAGCTGAAATTTTATATTAGTTTAATTTAGGTGAAAAAAAAGGATGACTGGAACAATTAACCCACACTACATACTTTGATTTTGTTTCTTTCTATCTAGTTATTGATGTCAGCCTTCTTGGTGGTGCAAAAGCAAAACCCTCTCAAGGAACAAATGTAAACTGTTGCTTCTTACCTCTTAATGAGTTAAATGGGGTTCAATGTAATTAAAAGATGGCAAACCACTCAGCTTGTACCATTGAGTTATAGTTTCACACAGGAGGTTCATGTACATATTGCTGTGTTCATCCACTAGCTTTCGTCACCTATTTTCCTTTCGGGCAAATAGTAAATTAGGTAATTGACCAATCAGAGTGCACTTTACATTAATTGTAATGTTATAAATTAACTTGGTTCATGACCTTCCTATGCAGTTATGTGTGCCAGCAGTTTTACTCTCACTGCTCAATATTATGTGCCATTGCTTTGTGATTTATGACTTTGTGTTGATGCTTTTCTTTCCCTCCTTATCATCTCAGCGTTTTGTTGTTTGGTTCCTTATTTTCCTGTAGGTTTCCATGGGAATGATAACAAGAAATACCCAGGTTCTGTTTGAACGGGCAGAGGTAAACACTTACAACAATTCACAGTTGGCAATGCACAAAATCTTACATGATGTTCTAACTGTTGGTTGTTACTGTAATTTTTGTTTGTTTGTTTTGTTTTGTCTTGTTTTTTTTTTATGGTGGTGAGAAATGTTTGCATTACTGTAGACCTAGCAAACTGGTTAGCAACCTTTCCTTCTCAATTGAATCACATTTATGTCTCTCTTTTTCAGGGATCAGTGCTTAATCTCACTGGTACTGCAAAGGGGTGAGTATGGTGTAGTGTACATGTACTCTTCTCTACTGGGTAATTGAGTTCTAAAGCTTCCCTGAAATGTTCCAAAAGTATTATACTTGTATGGCAACTTAAGATTTAAAGATGTTAGCTGATACACTAAAATGGACATGAGCCAAGTTGCGATTTTTTGTCACTTTCCATCTTATTAATTTCACTTTCCATAAAATTCCGCAAATTTTGTTTTATAGAAATAAAATGCCAGAAAAGACCATTCAGTTCATTCTGACCAGAATATTTGAGGTCAGCTTTGAAGGTGGTCCACTTTGACTAGTCTGGTTATTTTGGTAGGTCAGACCAAAATGTCCCTTTCGATTTGGCAAAACTGTTTACCCCAGTACTGCTCTTCTGTATCCTGCTGACAAGTACAAAAACCAAATGTGCAGTGGCTTGGGTTGGGACTGTACAACAGGAATGTAGGTGATCCATGTGGCACATGGAATTTTTGAAATTTCAAACAAAATTTTTGCTGAATAGAAAGCACCCTTTGTGTACAATTATGTACCGGTCCAGACCAGTCCACTTGTAAAGAGAATTTTGCTGATATCCAGCCAGATCACTGTATTCCTTAGTCTCCCTCACAGCCGTTTTTGTCTAGTCACACAATGAGCACTCTTTTGCGTGACAAGAATAAAAAGGTTGTGAGGGAGACTATCTTTTCCTAACAAAATAGTTGAACCTCTCTACAATGGCCCCCTTGGGGACAGAAGAAAGTGGCCGTTGTAAAGAGGTGGCTGTTGTTGAGTGGTTTTAAACAAGAGTCAATGTATGGAATTTTTATTTGCCGTTGTAGAGAGGTGGTCATTAGCAGAGACGTGACTGTAGTATAATCAGCAGTAAAAGATTTTTGGCAAAAACTATTGAGAAAGGCTACACTGTATTTCTCTTTTAAAAAATATTCTGTCAAGCTGGCCAGTTCAAAGGTTTAATAAGCACCTAAACTTACAGTTCAGTTAGGCTGGCCATAATATTACTATTATGTTCTTTAAATTTTAGAAAAGCTGCGACACAGTCCATCATCAGCAGAGATTGGGATTTCACAAAGCTGGGAATTGGAGGTCTTGACAAGGTAATTAAACTGCTGAGCAGTATGAAATTATTTTCTGTGTGTGTTCACAGTCTGGGGCCATCATCCTGAAGATGTGTGGAAGAAAGGGCTCCAACAAACTTCTGAAAAACTGCCTCATTATATGCTTTTGAAACGAAACAAGATTTTGACATTACACCAGGAGCAACTAACGTTGTCATTGCAGACATCCCCTCAACATTTTTGTGTCCTACTCCTTTGTAAGACTAAGACTAACTTTTTTATTCTTTGCTTTCTGCAATTACATGTACACAAAAATTGTACATGTACTCCTTTGTCTTCATTTCATTTATATCTAGCCCAAGCTATTCAAAAGCTGGATAGCGCTATCCATCAAATCAAGCACTACAGCTGTATTTAGCAAACCAATTGTGGTATACATGTATATTGGATAGTCGGAGTTTTTATTAAGTGGATAGCAGCTGCACTCTCCACCTTTTGAACAACTCAGGCCTGGTTATGAAAACATAACAAAATTTTTTTGTACCCAGTTTTGAAAATGCAATTTAACATCAATTTCTGTTGATGCTCTTCTAACCAGGAATTCTCTAACATCATAAGAAGAGCTTTTGCAACACGTCTCTTTCCACCAGAAGTTGTCGACAAGCTAGGTATATTAATTTTTTTCCTTCAAACTAGTTGCATAGCAGCATTTCAGTTTTGTCTGTTATGTGCTCAATATCCATTTTTTTCTTCAATCAGTTTGAAGGCTCACAGCTGGGTGTGTTTTTTGTAGTACTCTCCAAAGGCAGGGCTATCATTAATGGCCTGTAGCCAGTATTTTAAGTGGGGTACTACAGTAAATTCAGCTGGCTACTCTAAGTTTCAAAAGAAGTCAAACGCAACAAGCATATTGAGGATTTTGTGGGAGAAATAATGATTGTAATTTTGAAGACCAGCTACATGTCATTGAAACCAGTAAAGGCTGACTCGAAAGGGAATCTGGGAAATTTTTGTTTGTGAAATCCAGAATCCTGGTTTTTGGAATCTACAACGTGGAATCCTTAATCCAAGACTGTCTTGGATTCCCTTACATTTAGGACAAGCTGACTGATCTCAAGTGAATATCTCTGGTCTTCCAGGGTACCCTAACCCTGTAAAGCAGTGCAGAATTTTCATGTATTATCCATGAGTGATTGGTGACATGCTAACCTGGTCATTGTGTAGTGAACTTTTTCAGCCACTGACTAGAATGGTAATCAGTTCTAATTATAAATGAACATCACAAGGACCTGTGAGCACAGCTCTGATGCAAATGACCAGTTAACACAAGTAACTTTGAATGTGTTTATTATCTCATAGGTCTGAGGCATGTGAAAGGAATTCTTTTGTTTGGTCCTCCAGGTATGATGGAATATTCACCATGCGTGCTGCCACACCACATTTTAAAAAATTCATCCCCTAGAGACAATAGGGCCATTTATACGAGGAAAAATAAGACGCGTCTTACGTAAGACGCGTCTTAAATAAGACGCGAACTGTACCATTTATACGAGCATGTCTTATCTAATAAGACGCGTCTTCGCTAAGCCGCGTCTTATTTTAGACGAAATGTGCCGTTTATACGGAAAGTTCTCGTCTTATTTAAGACGCGTCTTATTTTTCCTCGTATAAATGGCCCTAATGTGTGTAACCAGGGTGGATGTTGCAGTGAAAAGATTGACTTGACGCTCTAAGACGTGATGTTTTATGGCTACTACCTACTTTATCTCAAAAAACAGCAACAAGAACAAAAAAAAAAAAGCAGCAGCAACAATGACAACAACATTAACATTATGGAAAGAACACTTTTAGGGAAATTAGGCCTTGAACTGGACCAAAGAAAACGTTTGCTAGAAAGTTCACATTTCCTTTTATAAAATCAGAAGAAATAAATGGTACCACGCAAAAGCTCTGGCAAAAAGATTTCATTTTAAAGGTAGCACGGGATTTTGTCCACAGATTTACAAGTTAGAGTGAAAAAAGTCTCTCCATAACGTGTTCTAGGAGTGAAAGGTTTAAGGTATTGTTTTTTTCAGGTACTGGTAAGACATTGATGGCTCGACAAATTGGAAAGATGTTAAACACAAGAGAACCCAAAATAATCAGTGGACCAGGTACTGAATTTAATCAGAATATTAGCTCGTGTTTACGTAGCAAGCGTTTCCGCACAAGTTCGTTGAGAAAGTTGGAACGAGAGCGAAACTTTTGGGCAGTACCGATTTCGTCGGAAACGCTATCAAAAGATATCAATGTCCGTATTAATGTTATGTAGTAATCTTACAATGTAATTCATCTATGCCTTATAAGTCCTGGAATTTATTTTGACCCATTTGATGTTCGTTCTGTTCATTGTTCTTGAAAATCCCAATACAACTTTACGTTTTTTTTTTTCAGAGGTGCTGAATAAATATGTTGGAGAGTCTGAAGCAAATATCAGGTCGGTCGAGCAACGAGTATTCATAAATTGTTTTACTGATTTATTTAAAAAAAGGTTTACGGCGTTTGTACGTAGATGGGATATGCTCTGTCGTGAAGGAAGCTTCTTGCTTTAAATAATCTTCTTTTCATGTACCCTATGCTGCTGATAATAAATAACTTTATATTTTTATTCACCATGCCAGAATTTTTGTTAGTTTTTATCTTCCATTGCTCCTCACTTGTGATCATCGTGAATACTAGAACATCATGATGAGTACTTCATACGCGAATTTACCCTTTTTTACCATTCTCCATTTTAGAAAGTTATTTGCCGAAGCAGAAGAAGAGCAGAGAAAGGTTTGTTTGCTTCGGGAAAATGTATACTGTAAACTCTTAGTCTCAGGGTTAGGGAACAATTTTTATTGTTAGATGACGTGCGACCACGAAGTAACCAATGGGAGAGCGTGCTGTCAGGGAAAAAATATTCCAGCTAGATAACAAAAAAATCGATATCTACACTCTTAACAACGATGACAGCATTGGTATCGACATTTTATGAAGAAAATGTTCTTTTTTTTGTAGCCTGTTCCAGGCGTCGTGTCCGCGAAATTACGAACCTTAAGCAAGGACAACGACGACGGCAGTGGAAACATGTAAAACAATGAATTTGCTTTCTTTCAAACTTAATCGCGTCTATTTGGACCCGCTCAATATGTCAAATGAAGGCGACTATTCCTGGAGTTGAATTCTTAAGGATTTTATTCAGGTTAAAAAAGAGGAAGGAAATTTCGTCGTCGTATGTCCACGTCCTCCGTAAAACGTCAAATTAGGAGGTTTCACGTCGTAGTCGTGCAGTGGACGTCAAAGAAATGTACTAAAAAGCGTGACGCACGTGCAGAGCAGTTGTTTTGATCATTAAACCTATTGTTGTTTTGAAGTCGTCGTTGTGGTCGTCGTCGTAGTTGATTAAGCTCCTTATATTGAGAAAGCGCGGACACGAAAATAAAACGGGAGGGAACTGGGGAGAGGAAAGTCGGCGGATTTCCTTTTTCCCGCCACCGCCATTCTGAACCACCGCCACCGTTTCCCAGATCACGCGCTTATATTTTCGCGTGTCTTTCTTTCACTTACGCGTCATCCCTACTATCTGAGAGCCTGGAACAGGCTATGATTCTTGTTGTTCTCTCGGTCATAGTGCTTTCATCCTCTCCTTTGATTTTTCAGTTCAGTGATAGCAGCGGCCTCCATCTCATCATCTTTGACGAGTTTGATGCGGTGTGCAAGTCAAGATATATGTATAATGTAAGTACACGACTTTGTGAGTGATTTTTATACCATTTGCAGTTTTAGTGTTAAGAAGTTTCTGTCACTGTTGTTTATGCGCCTTATACGGTGGTAACTTACCTCTCTTTTAATTTCCTTGTAGAGTGGCGGCACAGGCGTTCAAGACTCAGTTGTCAATCAACTTCTGGCTAAGGTAAAATCGTTGAAGAATTTATTTTCTTTGGTGTAGGCCTTAACTGTACCATGGTCGGGTGGCAATGATGTTTGCAAATTCTTCGACCTATTCACCATATTGTTTAGTGCAACTAGTGTAACTACCGGAACATTGTGGTGCATATTACCATTGACTTTTGTCCACACGAAACCGGAAAGGTTTGAACCCGCGTATCTTTTTTACCCGCGGCGTCGTGTGGACAGGGCCCTTAAACCACATTGGAGAGAAGTCCAAAAAGATGTGGTTTCGGTGAACAGATTTACTGATTTCGTGTGGACAGAAAGCTAATTCCTGTATGTCCGGATTCGTACAGGTGGACGGGGCCTAAGTGTTCTGCAAATCCCTACAGTGGAACTTCGATACAACGAATCTCTGTATAACGAAGTCCTCGGTAGAACCAACGATTTTCTTTACGCTAGTAATATATAGTAAAATATATGAAAAAAAAAAACTCGATATAGCGAATAAATTTTGCCAGTGCCTTGGCCCTTCGGTATATCGAGGTTCTACTGTAGATTCAAAACTGTTTCACCGAGTTAGTTTGATTTGGTGTTGGTTGGACATGCTTTAGCTTTATTATTTAACGTCTCTTTAGATCGATGGTGTGGAGCAACTCAACAACGTGCTTCTGATTGGTAAGAATTAGTTGACGATTCGCATAATTGAAATTACTGATTCTTGGTTACTGATTCCGGGACAACTTGCTACACACTGTAGGATGGGATATGTACGGGCAAGGCCTTTTAAAAGTTTAGAACAAGAACAGGAAGTCTCATTGTTACTTTCCGTTACCAAATTAGTTCTAAGCATTTGAATTTCCTCATAGTTACTGGCCAGAAAATAGGAAGTGCGGAAAATTGAATGCAAGATTTGTATGTATTGAAAAGCCTAGTTCCCCACACAGCCTCCAATTGGGAGCGTAAGCATCTAAGACGGCGACGACTACAAAAACGTCATTTAAACAGTGAATTCGCGCTGCCTCAAACTTTATCGCGCTTGTTTCATCTCGTTTAATTCGTCAAATGTTGGCAACTTTTTTTGGAGGTGAATTCTAAAGGACTCTATCAATGTGCAAGAAAAGAAAAAGAAAGTGGTCGTCTTCTGTTCCTGTCCGCCAAAAAACGTGAAATTAGGTACTTTCACGTCGCAGTCGTGCAACGACGGCTTAGAAGTGTACAAAAAAGCGTGATGCAGGTGCAAAGTTGCTGTTTTGCCAATCTGAACCTATTGCTTTTTGCCGTTCTCGTTACCGTCCCCGTCGTCGTCGTTGCTTAAAGGGACAGGCTCACGGTTCAGCGCATGCTCATTACGTTTTTCCAATTTATTAGTAATTCTATCGGTTAATAATCCCACTCACATATATCTCAGCGATCTCAGAATGTATTTCAAAGTGGAAGTGTATTTCAGAGTAACCTGAAGTAGGATGGAGGAGTGCTAGAATTGCAGAAAAATTGGTGGATTGTGCCAACACTACCAACGTTGAATTTATTTTATTCCATGGTTGATTAATTTACAGCTATTTGCACCTAAGTTGATCAAGTGACTGCCAGGAGAGTGTGCAGATTGGTTCTTTGACAACATTACGACATGATCATATTGCTTTCATAGGCGATACAGCATGTCCTGGTAGAAAAATAGCATTTTGATTAACAAGCATACGCTGAACCGTGAACCTGTCCCTTTAAGCTCCCTATTGTGTCGTTACACAACGCTCCTCTCCACTATAGAAGGAAAAAAATGGCTGTCCAGGAGACTAAAAGAACCCTTGCAAAGCCTTCAATTTTGAGAATCCATTTCCAGGTCTTGAAAGTGTTTAAGAAAGTCAAGAGGTGACGATTCCGTTTGTGTGAATCATAATTTGCTGAAACCTGGATTTGTTGGCCCAATCCATTTTAATGCCCTGAAACTCAAGTTGTGGCCCGTGCTTTACAAGATGGTTGGGATCATTTTACGTTTCTGGGAAACTGCCCACCTACCCCTCCCCTAAGTCAACATTTTGCCCTCAGTAAGAACTAAGTGTTAAAGTTGGTTTAGGGGAGGGGTAGGTGGACAGTTTCACAGAAACGTAAAATGATCCGGTTTTGCTTTTACTTCAAGGTATGACAAACAGGAGGGATCTTATTGATGATGCTCTGCTTCGACCTGGTCGACTGGAAGTGCAAGTTGAAATCGGTGAGATTCAACATAACTTTTAATTCTGTGTTTTAACTCACGTTGCCAGCATCTATGGAAATTTATTTGGAACAAAAGAAAGCGTATACATAAGAAAAGACTATTCAACTCCCACAGGACTGGTTTGGGACACAAACATGGCCGCCGTTTCATTGTTTTGGGACACAAATATGGCCGCCATGACGTCATGTGAAAACACACAATAGAGAGAAGAAGCCGTTACGTCACGTTGCCATGGTAGCAAAATTTCCGCATCTCAACAAACAGTGGTCCTGCAAATATGGCGGAAAAAAAATTGACATGACTGTATGACTTTCTTGTGCATGATTGCACTTTGAAACAAAACGGTAGCCCATACTTTTCTTCCATCGTTCAACAATACAAATGGCCGTCTCTGTCAAGAAAGGTTGTTGAGATCCAGCAATCTTGCTACCCACGGTACTACCCACGGTAACGTGACCTCTCACTACCCCTCTCTATTGGCTCTCTTGTCATGGTTAACTCAGTAAGATCACGCGAAAATTAAATTCGCCTTGCATGCAGCATTGCATACTACTGATACTNACCCGGGGGTTTTATTCCATGGTTGATTAATTTACAGCTATTTGTACCCAAGTTGATCAAGTGACTGCCTGGGGAGTGTGCACATTGGTTCTTTGACAACATTACGACATGATCATATTGCTTTCGTAGGCGATACAGCATGTCGCGGCCGGAAAATAGCATTTTGATTCACGAGCATGCGCTGAACCGTGCACCTGTCCCTTTAAGTTCTCTATTGTGTCGTTACGCAACGCTGCTCTCCACTGAAATGTTGCGTCCAGGAGACTCAAAATAGAACCCTTGCAAAGGTGTTTGAGAAAGTCAAGAGGTGACAAGTATAGAATTTGCTGAAAGCTGGATTTTGTTGGCCCAATCCATTTTAAGGCCCAGAAATTCAAGTTGTGGCACGTGCTTTACAAGATAGTTTTGCTTTTACTTCAAGGTATGACAAACAGGAGGGATCTTATTGATGATGCACTGCTTCGACCTGGTCGACTGGAAGTGCAAGTTGAAATAGGTGAGATTCTACATAAATTTTAATAGAGAGAAGAAGTGTTTACGTCACTTTGCCATGGTAGCAAAATGTCGGGATCTCAGCCAACAGTGGTCCTTCAAATATGGCAGAAAAAAGAATTGACATGACTGTATGACTTTCTTGTGCATGACTGCACTTAAAAACAGGACGGTAGCCCATACTTTTCTTCCATCGTTCGACAATGCAAATGACCGTCTCTGTCAAGAAAGGTTGTCGAGATCCAGAATTCTTGCTACCCACGGTACTACCCACGGTAGCGTGACCTCTCACTACCCCTCTCTATTGGCTCTCTTGTCATGGTTAACTCAGTAAGATCACGCGAAAATTAAATTCGCCTTGCATGCAGCATTGCATACTACTGATACTTTAAGTAATGTATGCTAACGAATTATGCCAGCTGCCGCAAAAAGAGTCCGTGAAGACGTATTTCTTTATTGCGTACACTGACATTGGATCAATTTAAGGTTTCTGGGAAACTGTCTACCTACCCCTCCCCTAAGCCAACATTTTGCCTTAAGTGAGAAGTGAGTGATAATGTTGGCTTAGGGGAGGGGTAGGTGGGCAGTTTCCCAGAAACCTAAAAAATTCATCCCTGATTTTAATGCATAATGAGTTCTTTATAGGCCTAAAAGCGGATTATAGTTAGTGAATATGAAAATGTTTGTGTTTGTTTGCGGGCGTTCTATCATTTATTTAAAAGTTGCATAGGTTTTCTCTCTGTTTTTATGCAGTAGTATGTATTGCTGTTGGAAAAATACGAGATTGCACACATTTTTGTTTGTCTGGCCAATGTGTAATATTCCTTATTGAAATAGAGGATCGACAGGGCATATTCTTTATAGTGAGCGAGGTGTTGTTTCTCCGTGTTTTTATAACGCTGTTTGTTGACCAGGCTTGCCAGATGAGGCTGGACGAGTTCAAATCCTGGAGATACACACAGCTAAGATGAGAGAAAATAATCTCCTTGCACCAGATGTCGACCTGGCTGATTTGGCTGTGCAGACTAAGAACTTTACCGGCGCTGAGATTGAAGGACTTGTTCGCGCAGCGCAGTCCACAGCCATGAATCGCTTTATCCAGGTACAGTAAAAGGAGAGTGCAGTGATTTGCTGACTACCACCGAACGAATTTGATTCAAGAAAAAAATAAATCAAGCAAGCTGCCCTAGAAACTTTTTGTTTGAAAGCGTGCTTCTATTCTTCATATAGTTTACCGAGCGAGGAATGTTAAGAGTCGTGTGGGGTAACATGCGATCAAGTACTTTTGGGGAATAGTGTTGGACTTTAAGTATCATGGCAATGGTAACAAATGTGATTAAGACGGAATCCACCAGGAAATTGAGTAATGTTAATTTTCAGTGGACAAAAACCTTGTACCAGAATAATTTAAAGAATATTGAACTCTTTTTTACATTTTTCAAGGGCTCAAGATGTAATAAATCATCTGTAGTAACACCAACGAAAATTTCTCTTGGAAGTCCGAGAAAACTGAATGTCAAATTTCACAAGAATTGTGATTACACAGGTAAAATTCTGAAAATTTCATGTGTAAGATGTAATTCTGTGAAATATGACATTCATTTTCTCGGGCTCCTATGAGAAATTTTGTTTGGTGTTACTACAGATGATTTATTACATCTTTAGCCCTTGAAAAATGTAAGAAAGAATGCGATATACTTGAAATTATTCTGGTACAAGATTTTTGTCCACTGAAAATCAAAATTACTCAATTTCCTGGTGGATTCCGTCTTAATATTCCAACTTCTACCTTTTTGACTCTTTAAGCCCCAGATATCCACGTACACTTTGGGCCTGAAAGGGTAAAAAAAAAAAATCAAAGTTCGATGCGAAAGACAACACGGTAAAGTCAACTCTTTCTGAGAAGAACGCCTTGGGGACCTGCAGTATGTGTCAGTCTTAGAGAGATGTCCGTCTTATAGAGAGTCAAATAAAGGGAGTAAAGAAAGGCAGGGACCAACTCTGAGTGTCCGTTTTACAGAGGTGTCCGTTAAGATAGAGTAGACTGCATTTCAGTTTTTTCTGTTTTGGTTTTATCAGCTTAAAAACAATTTCGAAATTGATCCTGAAGCTGTGGAAAAAATTTTGATAAGACGTGAGGACTTCTATCACGCCCTGGAGCACGACATCAAACCGGTAAGTAAAGCAAGCTTTCTGTTTCCTGCAAAAGGCAAAGGAAAATGCTCAAATATGATTGGCTTTTTAACATAACAAGTCATGCAAGGATAATTGAACAGTGCGCGTCATTTCGCTCTGTTTAAAGACAGTTGTACTTTGATGATGATGATGGTGATGGTGATGATGATTTTTTTATACTTGTGCGTATTCCATTCGTCATTCGTCATATTTACTTTTATGGCTTACATATTACATTTTACATACTTTCGTATCCCTAGTTGCAAAAAAACAAAACAAAAACCATAGGAAAATGTTCAGCTCAATTTTGTGTCCATATAAAATCACTCAATCCAAATCTATTCGTCACTCTTTCATACAATCCAAGTTCTTCGGTCCTTCAAGCCGTTTCCTCTTTCTTTTTCTTTAGGCGTTTGGACCTGCTGATGACAATCTGGACCTGTATGTTGCAAATGGTGAGTGGTGAAGGTGTGCCTTGTGGTG